TCCAGTCGATTTTGAGTTCATGCTCCTTGGAGTATCTGGAACGTGAACAGATTGCAGGTTGATAGTGGTAGATATGCACAAAACACCCACGCTCCAAATATAGAAATTTCGCATGAATAGATCTAGTAGGAAAGGAGTTACGACTGAAAAGTACGGCTGAAGAACCAATTCACCGAAGACTATTGAGCGCTACTGTATGTATTCAGAGGATTGTGAGAGTGGCAGGGTGGAGTTTTTTTGTGAGAGAAGTTTTTTCTACGAGTTCTGTATTCGTTATGAGAGTAGTTTTTCTACGGGATCTATATTTGTTGTATTTAATTTCTGACGACTGTCGGATATTACTGTTTGTCATTTCACGTGAACAGATTTCACAATGTTTTCCAAAAGTTTCATTTATTCAATGTCGTTTTCAAATATGTTTTCATTGTCCTCACCAGACGAGAAAAAAGTCATCACCTCTGCATAAATAGAGTCCACAAACGAACAAACATCATAAGTTCATCCGCATAAACGATGTTCTACTACTTCATCTGTGCTCTCGTACTACTCAACGCTTTCTCAAGGGCAGAGGTAAGTCATCAAAATACTCCGCATATAGCATGACCGGGTGGGAGTGGTGGAATGGCAAGTGACGTTAAGTACAAATTGGATCCACGATTGATACGCGCCCAAGCCAACTTAGTTTCAACTTTCGGAAGTCTCTTAATTGGTACCAGACTCGTCACCCTACGTGGGAGGGCAAAAAGACTGCTTTGTACAATGGCTGGCCACTTCAAGTCATAGGGTAGGCTGCGTATGCAAACAAAAAATCGCTTCTATACTGAGTGGAGGTCGGATGCGGTGCGTACTCCAGAATGGGGCTCAACAGCGCCAAAAGGACTGCGAGGCGCCGCCTAATGACTAGATTCCAATTATTTCTATGAATCTCCTGAATATTCGTTTTCAGGAGTGCGTGGAGAAGGAGCCGCCGCGATGCAAGGACAGGGCAGGTCCGAAGTTCTGCAACCATTTGGCAACATACAAAGTCGATGGCAGAACCCTCTGTATGGCTCCGGGCTACGAGAAAATAGCGAAAAAATACTGCGCTAATACCTGTGATCTTTGCGACCTGTAACTCTTCAATTGTGTCCGTGCAAGAAATAAACGACTGCAATTATTCATAATTTCTTTTATTCTCCCTATTTGGTTCTTTAGAATTTTTGGATTCATTCTGGAATCATTCGAACAATGAGCGGACCGCCAAAGCTGCAGCCACTATTTGAAGACACAGTACCCCAGATCGAAACCCCTCTGACGAATCCGTGGAGTTCAGAATAGCATAGGTGAAAAGAGATTAAGAAATATTTGGCTTGATGTAGACAGCTATTTACGCAATCGCAACAACTAACATCTCGTCCAAATACACCTCCCATGTTAAATCCGTCATGGTGATCTCGTCCAACGTCCGAAGTACTTGGATTTTCTCGCTTTCTTTGTCCGATGCGCTGCCCTATATCAATACTTCCACTTTTCGTTTTAAAGGTACAGTTTACGATAAATTGAGGGACTCTATTCGAGTCAAAATGCGGAAGAATTGGTTGGGAATAATTGCACAAAGAGTTGACTACATTAAGCCAAAACTGTCCAGAATTGTCTTTCACTGTCGCTATAGGTAGATGCCCTTTTTTAGAACTCTGTGGGTATCAATTAGAGGGTTGAGGATGTCATTTGAATTTCAGGAGGAGTTTTCCAGAAAGGATTGTGAGCTCGGGACATCAGCACGACGTCAGCTTACAACTTCGTTTCACAGCTCTTATTCTCAGGAGTAAATAGTCAACTCCAACTGTTGAGCATACCTATACCATATTGAAAAAATCATGTGTTGTTATTCAAAATTTCAAATAAATACATATCTAAGTGCGGTAGTATTTACAACAACTGAAGAAACGCAGAAGAAACGCATCTATACATATCTATGAACAATTCAGAAACAATAACATTCAGGTTCATACATCTGCTGAGGCCTTTAATCAGTTTTTGTCTTAGGAACAGTCAATCGGTAAATGGTTCTGAGAGCAAGATAGGATACGATAACAATAGAAACTAATGCAATTATCGCTAGGAAGATCAGATCAATAAGGTAATACTGTATCGTTGTCAAATGACGTCCATAGGGATCCAGATTTGGTATGCGTCCGAAACTAAAAAAGGAAAAATTGTCTGTCTTAGTGCTTTTCGTCAGTTTATGAGAGGGTTACGTTACTGGTTTGGTAAGGAATACAACTCAATGGGAAATACAACCTCTGATAGAGCTAAGAAAGGGGAGACTGTACAAGACACAAGGGTCGGCGAATTTTCGACAAAACCCTGGCTCAGCTCTTTACACTTCAGTTGTCGAAATGCAGGATCGAGGAAAACTACAGAAAACTACCGCATGAAGGGGATTCCTACTCAATACTGTCAACTATCGTTCAATCTGGGTTCTGTCTGTAAGCTCGAAACTGTCCACAAAAGTCGATAGAATTGACAGAACATTGAAAATATCGGAACGGTGAAGCATATTAACTAAGTATTACAATATTACATAATATGGAGGTGATAACATAAGAGAGCTTACCGAGCTGCGAATTCTGCATGTCGGAGCATCAACTGCTTAGAACTTATTGGCTGATTGAGAAGCATATCGGCAAGCAACTTGGCATTCGTTGTATAACTGAAGTAAGCTGGATTATCCTTCTCTGGTGATCATACAAGTGAGTATTGTGGTTCAGTATTCCAGGATTACTGTCCCATTAATGAGAGGCGGAGCAAAAAGACTACTACCGTAGCATTAAAGAAAATCCAAAGGAAACGTGCAGCTAATGGGGAAATGCTTACCTTTTATCATTGATTACATTCTCTATAGCGGACAGTAACTTGTCAGCATTGCCCAAGTCGTATTTCCCCAGTACTATCGCGCTACCGTGCTTTGCCAACATATTTGCATTCCGAATTTGATCAGCAAACAATGGCACCTTAACCTTAGGCTTTGTCAAAGAACAAAATTTAAAAATTTTGAAAAAAATCATAAAAAAACTTCAAAAAAAAATCAGTGGACTAGAGGTTACATAAACCCTTGTTTACTTTGTTCTCGTGGTATACTGCCTTTCGCTTCACTTTTTCTCCTACTCAATCAAGCGTCATGTCATGAAAATCAAACTAAAGTTATCAATCACGACTTTAGAATTATCAACTGAATAGATTACCATAACTGCTGGTTTGCCCATATAGGCGATTTCCGTGGTACTGCCAAGACCACCGTGGGTGACGAATGCAGTTATTCGTGAATCCGCTGCAATCTGTTCTATCTCATTCTTATACTAGCTTATACTAGTCCCCTAATACTCGATAAACAAAAAACAAAAAATAAAATAAATAAAACCTAGTAATATATGATACCTAGAATAGCGTTTTGTGGAAGCCAAGCGCTTAGGTAGACGTTTGACAGGTTTCTGATCATTTCAGAATCATCAATTTCGTATTTCCAGATGAATGTCGTATCAGGCATCATCTCAAACACTTTCAAAAGAGATTTTCTGGAAAGGTTTTTATTAAATTTGTGGCAATTATTCGGCTTCGAGAAGGTTCCTAGGTGCCCCATCTAAAAAATTCCTTCTCTTACACTTCATCATCTTACTTCTTCTGCTTCCTGTAAACTACGAATAGGCGAATTTGCTCAAAAACCTATCAAAATTTCAAAAGGTTCCCAAAACTACTACTTAAAGGTAGAATACAATCAGCTGAACCCAGCTTAGCCTTAAAACTAGAATCTTTTGAAAGACCTACTTGTATTCATCCGGCATATAACATGACTTCACTACGGTACCGAAGGAAATGATCACATTCTTTTCCCTCAAATTGATAATTTCGTCAAGTTTCTGAACGAACCAATTAGTTCAACTCATGAGAACTCTTAACTATGACAGTATACTTCAAAAGTCACCTTTGGTAGTTTGTTGCGACTCGAATCGAGCGATACGGCAATTCCACCGATGTCGATGGATTTGTGGATTGTTGGGCGAGGATAGTCGAGATATGGATTTGAATTCGTGAAGACATATGATACTTGGGCTAGTAGTTCCTTAAATGGGTAGTAAGCTAAGGGAAGAATGGGTCGCAGAAGGTAACGTTATTCAGTTGAATATTACTATCTCTTGAAGGTGGCTATAACTTTCCCCGAAATCAAATATCACTTGAATGATCAAGGAGAAGGTTGAGATGGGTGAAATATAAAATGCGGAAAGAGACAAGCCTTACTTTAGCTATAAAGGACCACACCCTCAGGGCAGCATATGCCGACACGAAAGTTCCCGAACAGAACCTGATAACTCTGTTTGTGGTAAGCGAATGAATGAGCCGGTGGGGATTCACCCAAAAAGGGCGGGGGGTCACCTTAGTTGGCAGTGCCTACTTCAAAAATTAGTTAAAGGGTACGGAGGCGTACTAGAAACAGGGAAATTGAGATAGGTAAGTAAAGAAGTGGTACAATGAATGGATAAATAAAGAGCAGTAAATAATAGGTGCAATAAATGGCTAAGTAAAAAGGAAATTAAAATAGATCCACATTCTAGCCTTTACTTTCTCATAATTCACCTCGTAGTCCTTAAAGTTTTGCCCGAATTTCGCACGAAACGCTGCAATTTCCATATCGAATAAGGTATCGAAAAATTTCGCTCCAAGGGTAATTTCTACTACATTTTGTAGACGCTCGAAAGTGTTCATCACATCACTTTTGGTAGACATCGCTCCTGAAAAACGTACAGCCATTTTGAATAGTTTTTGGTTTATGACTGCTATAAATGAAGGATATAAAATGCTGAATTGTTTTAGAAAAATTTCGATTTTTGAATATAGACAAAAGCTCGTATCTGGGTAGGCTCAAACTTTCATGCATGCATCCCAGACACCATACCTACCCCTTACTTAGGGGAGTTCTAATTTTCTTTAGAATTCAATGCTTAATGAAAAACCTTTATTACTATGGATTTTGTAGATCGAGGATACACGAGTAGTGTTGCAAACCAAGCTTTGGGACAGACGTTTTTATGACAATTTCACGTTTCACATTTAGTTGTTCACGGAAGGATTCTAGGGAAAGACGACCTGGAACGTAGCTAGCTGCACTGGGAATGCCGATCGCTTTGGAAACGGCTTCAGCATGAACGCATGACGAGGTCGCAATAGTCGCCTTCACATCCAGCACCTCAAAAATTCCTGAAAACTCGTACACAGTCAAATGTACAGACAGTATTTAACTTTATCTAGCCCTCCACTGCCACAACCTTGATCGGATTACATTGAGGCTATCCTTCAGAGAAAGTTCGCTGCAATAACACCTGTGGAATATGGAGACCTGTACTTAGATAAGCTAGCGGTGAAATCATTTTGTGGTGGGATGTATCATTTACCAATTCAGCATTTCAAAGCTTCGAATGAGTACTTAGTAATATGATCCAGTCGGAGTCATTCTTGCGACTTCTGTTCTGATCAGTTTCTTTTCTTCTTCTTTTCGAAATTTTCATTCTTTTTCTTTGCTTTCTGAAATTTAAATCTACAATAAATACTTACCAAACCCACATAAATCGAAGGCTTCAGCTATACCAACATCGAACCTCGTTTGTCGAAGGGTGTACATTACCGCATCATCGTTGAACACTCCTAAATATCGAGAATCTCTCGAAGGCCCTGCCAGGAAACCATTTCAAGGTATAGTTAGTCAAGAGCAAGAACAACTCATAGTTAATTTTATCAAAAACAAATTGAAGTAAAAGGTGCTCCTAGATTCATTAACTCCTTTGCTCGATCTTTCATTCAACCTGGACATTTTGAAACCTCATCGGTGCTGTTAAGTTGAAAGAAGGTTGGAAGAATGTATGGAAATGATTGGGAGGGTTTTTTTTTCTGTGAAACCCCTGACCCTTCTAAGACTATTAAGAAAATCAAAATTCAAGAATTCGAATTTTTTCATCCCCAGCTGACGGCCCCACCCAAGGTTGTTATCATATGTATGTACACCCCAGCGTAGAAACACTTAACAAGGCAACCAGTGTTTTCAGTAATCTTATCTGTAATTTCGCTCTATAAATTGAAAAAGTCGTTTTTGCCCTTTTCGGGTCAGTTTTTAGACGTGTACAGGACGTACTGAACGTTCGCAGCCGAAGAAAAATCGAGCAATAAATGTGCGAAAATAATTGATGCATCGTAAAAATGTTAAAACAACACTGAAGTAAAAGTTGTTTTGATCACTCCGACGAATAAGTGTCAGAGCGTAAAAAGTGAAAAAAGCCGTAGCAAAAGTAGTATTAGAGCCCTGATGGGAAAGGACTCACTTTCACACTGCCAGGTGAAACTTCTTGCTAGTTGCAACCCAAGCTGAAAGTAAATAGTTAATAAGCTAAGAGGTACATATGCACAGTGATGATTGTACATAGTTACCAAACCACACTGGGTTACCAAAAGGAATCATCTCTGGGAAACAACTACTTTTCGAATCAAGTGCATCACACCTCAGGGTCAATAACCGTGGTCAATACTTCAATTGTTTACTTTAAGTTCCTGGTAGGCCTTGCCGGGGAGCAAGCGTTACAATGGGGCATAGAGCCCAAAACATATGGCCCTTCACAACAGTCGCATGGCAGTCCACTTTAGCGGAACCTTCTCTTCACACGCTAGTATCAATCAGGATAAAAGAGGTCTCGCTTACTTATTCATCAACTTATTCGTCGTCAAGAAAAGTGTAACAATAAAGTCGTAACCCTGTAGCTCAACACTTGCCTGCTTTACTATACTGGCTGTGTACTAGCTTTGCTTTGAATTTTGGAAACAAATTTAGGTTTGAACTTCAAGAGATACCACTAAATCGATACTGTATTACAACGCGATTTCGAGTTGAGCGGATATGAGCCCTTGCTGTGACTTTAAAGAGAAACTTGTCGGTTTCCAAGTCTTCATTTGCCTCTGACGGCCCTGAATACATTGGTCCAGCTTCCAGGATCATTCAATAGCGTTAATTCTAGACCAGAGGTTAATTTGAACCAGACTGTCAGAAACTCTTTCCGAAACGTGGCTGGATGTCCGGCAAATGGTTTCAATGCAGTCTTCACCGACTCAGGAAAATATAAGAAAAAAACTTGAAGGTATGTATTACCTCTACCATTCCGTACGCTGATGGTTCTATATTCCATAATTTTTTCATAAATTTAGCCTTCTGAATAAACATCGCTGCTGTCCGATTGTCCGGCGGCACTTTGATGACGTTTTTTGTCGATCGAAGACCTGTGTCCTTCATATCAGGGTCCATTATGGGCATCAACACCGTCTATAACAAGGAATTTTTCGAAAAAATTACAGATCGATAAGTAACTCAACTAAAAGTTTGGAATCCTTCGGAATATCTCCTCTTTCCCCTTACAGAAGGCATTTATCTCACAAACTTCCCTCTGGTCCTGAACAGGGGTCAAAAGAGAGCTCGGAATGCGCCCACCGGCGCGGCTTGCGACGAGGCAACTAACTATAAAAATTAACTGTGCAAGGTGGGAGGCGAGACAACTAGCAAGTAATTGAGCACAACGCCGCACACCTAGTATTTGACTTACCACATTATGCCCAGCTTCCGTAAGAATATCAGCTATTGTACCCATGAAATGTGAATGGGAATGTCCGAACAGAGGAGAGACCACCAGATAACTGTATGCTGTGACAGTATTTAATAATCCAAGTATCAAGAACGCTTCTAGTCGCATATTCCTGAAATCGAGCCGTAGAATGGGAGAAAATTCGATGCACTGTTCAGGGAGGTTACGGTATCATAACTTAGAATACGATTTCACATCTGATTTCAAAAATTTTCAAAAAAGGATATGAAAATGATAAGGAACACGAATTGGCGTCCACGCCACATTTGGAAGAATGATCATTGATGCTGACGTAGAAAGGATATAAATAGGGTGGTGAAGAGTGATTGAGAACCGGTTGTGAGGGAAATTTTCCAACGAGAACGATGTTTTTCTACAATATTTTAATTGTTCACCACCAAAAACCCTCTCATACCATCCACAACAGGTGAGTTGTTGTTGATTTTTCTAGGTAAGCGTAATAACTAGAGAGTCAAAAATCANAAAAAAAATTAGCGGAAATTCCATAGTCCCCATAACAAAGCTATTAGTGTTTGAATGTATCTTTGATTTGAATTTGCATTCATGAACCTCTCGATTAATAATAAATAAGACGTATGAAAAGTTCCATGGGAAGCATTGACTACTGAAAGTCTGAACATATCGCTCAATCAGCTCCATACCTTCGAACTTGCGCCTAGTTACGGTCGTAAGCGGAACGGCGGAAATCGGAAATAAGTTAAACTCGAATTATCGAGACTCTTGATAATATTCAGCTTCAAACCAAGCGGTCCTACGCATTGGGCAGTCAGTAGACCTAAAGACCTCGTATAAGGTTTCCTATAGACGGGGTTTCCTGGCATGACAGTGGACAGGGCAGATTGAAAGTGTGACATATGTACGTAATAAGGAAATGCGCACGACTCCATTCGTCCACTCATAATAAACTAGGTTTTCAAAATATAGCGAAACTAAAACAGTGGAAAAGGCTTATCGGAATAAGGCTAGCGTACAGCTACGAAACAGGACGGGTCGTGCTGAACGAGCAATACATGAACAACTCATTCATCTACACACCCTCGTTATCACCAAATGTCAACTCCAAAAAAAGACATTATTTATCAATGTTATTCTTGGTGGTCGCTTTCGAAATAAAGCGAAGTTCTTCAGGGAAATTCATAAGGTTTCGAAACAACTCAAGATTTCAGCTCTACTTTTCAAGGATCAAAGAACTTAATGAATCGCACTCATGAATTCATATATTTGAGAGAGGGCCACTTATGAAGAGCCCGGGACAGTTTTTGAGATAACAAAAAGAACAAAGACTATAAGCGTTCCCGGTGGGACGAAAGGGTCGCTTAATTTGACTGGGTATCACCCCCGCACTCCACCATTGGTCAAAATGTGTCACAGTACGCGGTTCGGCTCCTTACTACTTGAGTCCGGAACGTTCCATAGAAACTCGAAACAGAGATATACTGTGAGAAAATATATCCTCACGGACTTAGCTCCTCCATTTTCAATTCATCACGGAAAAAAACCAAGATAGCCGTTGTCTCGAACGACTATGGAGCCGAGGTTCGGTCACAGTCATGGAACAGTGTACAACTTCTGGTTCTACACTGGCCTACGGCCTTTCTCCCGTTGCTCATAACTGGACACAGAAATGGGCAGGTGACAACCAGAAAGCGAAAACAAAAAGCAACAAAATACTTTCGGGTACTCCTACATCGACTTCCAAATAGATTTTGAAGGGCCTCCAAGTGTGTTTCGTCCGGCCCTTTAAGGATGAGCGAATAAGCCATTGCATGTATCCATTCCAAAAAGTAATAAAAATAGGAAAAATAAAAATAATGGAGGAATCACATTGGACCAGAAGGAAAAGATCTGCTGACAATAGTTATGCTAGTAACGCCATTAGTTAATGCACCATGTACACGAGAATAAGAGGGAAAATCAGAAGGAAATTAGTCCCAGAACCACAACATCAAAAGTTAGCATGATCAAGGTGAAGAATAGAATTTTATTTGTGATGTTTTCCCAGAGGGCAATTGATCCCAAGTGCTAAGTCCAGTGTTTTTCACCATTCTTCTAAAGTAATTAGATCGATTAATCAGAGTAACGGTCCTAGCGGAAATAATGGCCCTGAAATATCTTAGAATCATAAGAAAATGTTTTCAACGGAAAAATAATCCATCTCAGCCCTTAAACAGTCTTAATTGTCCCACAAACACAACAATCTTATCAACATAACTTTGTACATGGACCAAGCACCAAACAAAAAGAAAGACGACGACGTCATAAGAAAATAAAAATCAAAAATAAGAAATTGTGAAGGTAATTTATAGTAAACAATAATTATCGTTCGTTTTCAATCTCTGAAAATAAGTAAGATAATCGGAAAGACTATTGAATGAAATTATCACCGTACTGGGATTAGAGCAATAAGGATAAATAGTGCTGGTGATTAACATTAGTAAGCAGCGATGATAAAAAGTGATAGTAAGTGATAGTTTGTAATAATAAATTATGGTAAACAATAATACTGATAGAAATAATAAAGGTAAATAATAATTAACAAAAGCAAATAGCAATTGTTGTAAAATACCGGTAATGAGCAATGAAAATAAATAGTGATAACAAAAGTAAGAATTATTAAGTAATGATAATAATCAGTGATAAATGGCAGTTGTGTAGGAGCAGAAGTGATGTATTGACAAGTGGAGCACTGCCACAAACGCATGGTCGTAGATTCGAATACCGGATCGACTTCCTACTAAGCCAACTAGACCTCCTAATCTTCTAGGATAAATTGGTATCAGACCCGTTGGTAGAACGTAAGAACTGACATGTACATAGAATGTTCACCGTAAATCATTGTATAGGATACATACGCTACTACTATGTAATCTGAACGGGAGTCGAAAGTGGGACCGCCAATGTGGGCATCAGAATGGGGAAGAGGAGTCCAAACGATGCTTACCATGTGAGTGTGAGTACCAGGTAATACGAGTAATCCATTCCACAATCGAATGTTTTTCTCATTAACACCGTCACCAGAAATACTTGTTACTATGATCATTGGTTGATAAAGTGCTGAACTGCAGCGCTCGCCTATCCATTCTGCATCTATAAGCGTGTGCCAAATCTTATTTATTGGCATTCCAAGAATAAGAGCCAGCATTTGCTAAAACTCATTCAGCTTGCTACAAACGCCTGGACTTCTGTATTGTATTCTGTATTTCTCCCTATTAGGTAGCAAGAAATGGCAGCTCGTTTTTAATTTGCAGAAAGTCGTTGGGTAGGGGCATTATCAGGAGTCCTACTATTATAATTCGTTTGAAACTGGTTGGATAGGGGTAGTCTTGAAGCCTCGCAGCTGTGGCTTTCGCCTCTGCATGGTTAACCCAAGAACCAGATATGTTGCTATCGTGGTAAACAAATAAACAAAACGGGTACTAACAAAAAGGTATCCAGTAACTTACAATCTTTCTTCTAGCTCTCCGTCACTTTTTTCAAACGATCTCGGTGCAAAGCATACTAGTTGTCTAATTATTTTGCATTTTTTATACATTATTCGTTATCCCTCCACTTATACTTGCCTGATGGTTTTCTACTTAATCTTCATTCCTCTGCAACATAACCCTGGAATTCTCGTATGCATATGTTTTCAATGTTGTTTATTCCATGAGCAAGTAACCTGGCTGCCATGAAGGCGTTCCCCTTGGAAGACCAAAGAGTAACAACAATACCTACATTGTCTCTGAATTATGGGTAATACTTACCACAACATAACCTTGACCACATAGGCCATGAAATTCGCGCTTACATAATCTACTCTAGTTTCAGGCTCCCAATAGAAGAGAAGTTTTCTCAGCCCTTCTCACAAAATTACATTTTTTACATAAAACTGAAAGTTTTATTAATAGCTATAGTGTGAAAGAAGATCGAAAGCATCGTCCTACAAAGGTGAGCCTTCTTGGAATAGACGAAGACGACGTCGTTGTCAAGATAAGGGATCCTTAAGATCACGGTTCAATGTGAACCCGAATAGCAAACGAATACGGTAATACGGCACAGATATACGGTAGAAATTACGCAGAAATTATCGGGTAATGAAAGAATCAAGGTAATTACATGCAAAAAAGGTGGTAAACGAAGATAATAGGTAATATGCACGATTACCTAGAAAGTGTAACATTAATCACAGAGAAACCTAAAAAATGAGTAAAAAAAAATACATGAAAGTATAGCGAGCCATTCAATTAATACCAAATTTACAATTACAGTAAAATGTGAGGTCGTTATCGAGCTTCATTCCAAGGCTTTACGTAGGACGTCGAAATCGGTCACATACCAGTCAGCTCGACTTCGTACGGCTTCTCGCACCTGAAATATCGACAAGATTTATCAGTTATCTGGGTGAATGCCAACGAAAAAGTTGTAAGCTCCTTCAAGACACCTTGGTAAGCAGCGCCCCTACTCTTGGAGCTCTCCTAGAACTGATACCGTACCTGATTACCACCGAAGCCGATAAAGGCGTCTGCCGGTGGAGCGGCTTCTAGGTCAGTGGCTCCATCACCAACCATTACCAATTGTTTGTAGCCCTGCTTCTTCAGCAGACCCATTACAGCAGGTTTACCGACCTGAAACAAGTGAATATATAGGTGGTGGAAATATGAGCGTTCGGGGATCCCAGAGGGTTGAATAGAGGCTGTTTTTCGTCTCTGCTGAAAGGAAGGACCTCGAAAAAAGTATGGGACTAAAAATTATCCGAAATATAAGTATGCCCTTTTCTAAGCGATTGTTTCCTGCATCTCAAGAAGATTATAACAAGGTTCCGAAGCAGGGTGCCTACTTCACGGACAGAGCTCCACTGGACTTTCGGGAATCTTTATCCGCTGCTTATGGAGGTTAGGAGGAAAGCTCTTACGTCTTTACTTCCTGAATCGCTTGTCGGTTCTGTCTCGTCGAAACCAGCATAGTTCTTATTCCTGTCGAACAGAATCTCATTGGCATAGATTCGTGACTTATCAATACCTGGAATGTTCACCTTTTCAGCCCTGAGCTTTAAAGCGTTTCACGATCTCTTGAGATGGAAAGCGAACTGATAGTAATCTAGTGGAATTCCCTTACCAAGTATATCAGCCACCGGTCGGATGAGTCGTCGGAAACCGCCGGAGACAAGGAACACATCTGTGCCACGTTTGTGTAACGCAGCAACGAGTTCTCGGATACCGGGAGTGAGCTGGAATGTATACAGTTCTTGAATACCTGGCGTACACACTGACTTTTCTCGAAGCGTTTCCATTTTTCAAGACACATTTATCGCGATTAATTCACCAAGGTAAATGCCCAGGAGGAAAGGTACCGTTACCCGTTGTCCCCTTATATCTGGGAACAAGTCAAACCCAATGGTACGGCCGGTGTGTGACACTTAAGGAATCTACAACATGACCTCGGCGATGCAGAACGAAATGGTATTTGAGAATGGATGTTATTGTTCTCGAAAATTCCGAATAGGCATGTGATTGAACGAACATTTCCATGAAAACAACAACATCCTCCACATCTCACTGCCCCGTTCCCGGATCTAATCCCGCCCGAATAGGAAGGGACTCCCAAAACAATGTAGTATGTCTTGGGTAGTACCTAATAGATCTGTAGGCATGCACCTGTTGAGCAGGTTCCTTTACTAAGCCAGTAAACAGTTCCCAATGTAAACGATGAAAAGTGATTAAGCTTATGAGTTATTGAATAAACAATACTATAAGTATACATTAAACAGATACTCCAATAAAACATGGTAAAACAAAGTGGTTGAAGAAGTCATGGTGTATACCTTTGGTTTGGTCTCATTGGCGTATCGCTCTAACTGATCATACGTCGGTCGCATGACATCCAAACGAGCTTTCAGGGCTAGCCTAAAATTCGATATACACCCATATACATTATCAAATCTTTGGAAAAAGTCCTTCAACAGAAGACCAGCGGTTCCGGGCGTTTTTTATGTCGAAGTAGATGCCCCAAAAAATTTTGTTTTTGTTCGTGAGATTTCCAAAATGGCATAATGCCGGTACCATGAAAGTTTACAAAGAAATTCTAACCAGAGCCAATGATAAATTTGTAAAAATCTATGGAAATGTCCCTATCCAACTTGTTGTAGCCCATAAACCATTCGAACACTTCTTACTTACCGGAATCGAGCATTGCCGTTCATGGCTTGTCGGGTGACATTTGCGACTGCTTCACCTACTCCTAGGAAGTTGGCGAATTCATCGATAGCTTCGTCCTGTAAACCGAATCATTTCTCATTCAACATGAAGTAAGTGGCCCTTCAAAGGCTGTCCTTTTGGCAACCGTAAAGCCTATGGGCCATAATATTATCACATTTACATCGTAGTCATATTCATATATATTAACGCTAAAAATCACTTATATCGGCCCAGCACTGAGCAGCATCGTTGTATGTACTGATCAGAGATATTTCAACGTCCCGTGAATGTGTGACACCGTAACCCACTAGTACCTCACCACCCACCCCCGTGAGCTTTACCCGGGGTACCTTTCCCATGCGTCATATATGTGGCGGGTGTTTTTTAGGCGCTTTAGCGTGTGTTTGGGTTACTGTGTCACACATTCCGGACGACTAAATCCGTCTTGTTAGGTGTTGTACCTCCTGTGCTGCTTCTTGGCCGGAGGGAACTTTAGCGAGAGCCCCGGTTAGCAACCTTTTTCGGCTGCTTCTCAGCTAACCATTCCGTCTACCACCTGTTCCCTTACTTCTTTACTGACGCAAAGAAAAAGTGCGCTTATTAGCAACGAAAATCTTCTCCACTAAGAGGATACAGCATTTTTATGACCAGATTCAGATTGCCAAGGATTACGGTGGTGAAGAAAACTTTCGATAGATTATTCTCACCTGGCAAACAGTAGAATCAACGTCGAAAGCGACAGCATCAGCGTTTCGCCAGATACGTCGCACATGCTCCTCGGGGGTTTCGATTTGTGTGTGACATTCGGCATGAGCCGAAAGTTGACTGGCACTTGGACGCGCAGCAACTCGTAGCATATTTAAAGCACTGAAAATGTGGGTTATCCGGTAAATATTCTGTACGGAGGCACAATGAACAGGTCATCGGAACGAGCAGTTGGTTCGGAAGTAACTATTGTCGAAATAGATCAGAAGAAAGCAGAAGTAGTGAGCATGGGTGAAGTAGCATGAGCCAGGTAAACCTCGTACCAGAAAGCCATTACTCAGAGTAGTACTGAGGTGTGCTTTCCAGGCTATCTGGGAAACTCCTAGTCTACCCAGCAAACTACTGTTCGGTGCTGTTTGGAATCGGAGATTCACAGCTGAGTGGAAGCGGGAAAGGGTAGGATCTACCAACTCCATTCACTGACTGACGACCGATTATCATCGCTATGATTCTACATTCATTGTTAAGATAGCATACTCAGTGATTCTCCGACTATGAACAGCACCATACTAGAAAAGAGTGGAGCCTTACTCCTTCTTACCACCGCATTCAGCCATAAACTCGCTACAAATAAGATCTTTGGTTCGCCATGGCCTATTACTTGATACGGTACATGGTATATCAGTAGCGTGGTACCAGACTGACCGATAGTAGCCAGTCGGAAGGTTATGGGGCTAGCATCAGACCATAAAGGGCGCGTTTATATTCAAAAAAAGGCTAAGTTCAGTGTCATGGAGTCAGGAAGGAGTAGGTGACCAAAGAGATGAATTTCCCTCTGTAAATACTGGAGTTCTTCGAATAATGAAGCGATTCCATACGGTGGGTTGTTCAAGCAGCAAAACCTAATATTTGAGGTAGTTCATAGGGCTCATATGGGAGAACGAAATAGGTTCAGATGATTCCCGTGGAAGACCAAAAAATATTCCTGAGTAGGCACCGCCAAATTCACCCGCATATATTTACAAGTTGAATAAACATTTCGATAAACATCAGGTCGAAACAACTATTCGAGAGAACATAGCAGGCAAATATCAACTCCATACATAAACAGGGTTTCTGGCCAGCCAGAAATATCAGCTCCCAACAAAACTCGGTAAAAAGTGAGAGAGATTCACCAAAAGTTAGATAAAACGATCAATTGTCTACAGCTGTGCCTTTCTATCCACCAAAGATCCACCACCAATCGTTCGGGCACGCTATGGATGTCGCCGATGATGGAGAATCATCCTGTTTGAGAACTGGATCAATCCCAGTTGGGTTGGTATTACATCATTCTAGTGAAATCAGTTTACGGCCCGCCGAAAACTGACGCAACGATAAGCGAACGCCTACATCTTTGCCTAGTTCGCCAGTCCTACATATTACTATCGAGACAGGGCGATGTCACTGATCGTTTCGAAGTGAGCCATGAACTCGTTCTATGGCCATATTTTATTTCAGATCAGAAGCGTCACTGATTTGATATTGGGATATCTTAGGAGGATAAGAAGTTCGTCCGACTTAAGAGGAACAAGTGGCTTCAATTGAATGGGCATGTCCCACACATCTTTGGACACTCCTACTTCTCAGGATTGGTATAATAGGTTTCCGTAAAGAATCGTTCACAATGACTATCAATAAAAATAAAAGTTGTAAGGAAGAGAAGTGAGCAGCAAATTGTTGGCTTCTGGAAAAATCCGCCGACATTGAGGAGCACGTCGTTGACATGCTGTGTGAACTAGAATGACAAGCCGCGGTGGGTGGTCCCACGGGTCACTAGGGGGAATCCCGTATAGATCGGCGAGAGCACGTGCATAGCATGTGAATTACAGATGAGGGCACAAAGAACTACCATAATATTTGAAGTAAAAGGCAATAAAAAACAAAGAAAATCGAAAGGAAAGGTCGCAGAAGTGTTGAAAAGAACAAATCAATGTCAAAGTGTCGTTCTTTCAGCCGAGAGTGGGAAAAAGGGTAAACAAGGTAAGGTAAACAAACGGTGAACCAAAAGATGAACGCAAAGGTTTCACAACAACGGACCATCCAGACTTAGTCTTAGGTACGGTTAACTTTGATTCTGTTACTTTGGGAACACTCTCAGATACCTCGGCCTTCTATGAAGGAGGCCGACCACACTCCACTACCGGCAAGTGAGGCTACCGATTGCTCTAGAGAAAGTGTCATTTCAGAATTTGCCCTATCTATTTTTTCTAGCACTCCTTGTCAAAGTCGTTCCAAGAACTTCATCCTTGGAACGACTTAGACAAAATCACCTATCACCACATAACAAGTAGCCAAAATAGGCACAAGCCCCTCAGTAGATCCCATTTATACCCTTTTTTTTCCAAATTCAAGCCGCTCTGTACCTCCATTGTTACCTTCTACAATGCCTATCCTCACCACACCACACTGGCCAATCAGAAGCCCTGCATCTGCAACGGGCCGAGCGCAAATTCCAGCTATTTCACCTTGAAAGCATCCCCATTGTTCAGAGACATCAGAGAACCTGCTTCTTCACCGAAGAAAGAAGAAAGGAGGACCAAAGCATTGAAATTTCACCGGCAAGACGTAGAAAACTGATAAAAGCAATAACTATCCAATACATGAGGTATAGGAACCTACTCATTACGATGGTAGGACTTGCAGTAAAGTTGTGGTCACATTAATCACAGACAACAAAAGCTAGTTGCAACGGCAAGAGCAGTTGAAGGTAACTGGTATGGTAATCGATAACCCAACACTTCGTAGAGCGATGTGGAGCAGGATCGAACCTGTATGAGAAGCGATCTCTGTGAAACGGGTGTTCCTCACCAGACAGCTCTCGCCAGGCTTTTCGCATAGTCAATAAGAGTGGGTGTTGTCCCGAAGAGAAGCAGACAGCGAGAATGTTCCCATTGTAAATGCACAACAACACAACAATTGCAGCGTCTAGGACTCTACAGCAACAACGGGTAGAGTCGATTTTTAGAACCACGTGTAGGACAGAGGAAAAGAGGATCAGGGTATTTCAGAAGGTGTGAAATTTGCAGAATCATGACAAAATCGAGCAGTACCATAAGGTAAGACTCTGCACCGGAACGGAACGCATTTCAAGGTAAAACCACGCCCCAAAAGCTTTTGTATCAGACGGCACATCGTATGTCGACGACACAGATAATCATCACACCATATCTAGACCGCGAAAAGCAGTGTTGGAGTGCCGACACGTAACAAGGTGACATAAAGCGCCGTCCGGCAACATCGGGTCAAAATGAGGTCGATCAGAGTCCAGAGTTCAAGAACACCGATTAGCCAGTGGTTTCGAACTATGGACTCTTGATTTTCTTAAAGGCAAGCTGATGGATAGCTACCGACAAGTCCAAGGTACATAGTACAATAAATTCACTTTCGATCCGCTATCTCCTGCTTAGAGTGTTATGCAAAACCTGTAGGACTACTAGTCGAGTTCTACTGTAGCCCATACGCCACCGTACTGAGAAACTTGCACGCACTTCAAACCCTGCGCCCCATCCTCTGAAGGAAGAAGTTGGGAGATAGAGGAGGAGAAGAGGAGGAATGGAAAGTATAGTGAGGGGTGAGATGGGCTTAACTTCCAGCTCAACCGAAATTTCTGCCTGAACACTTTTTTTCAGAGGAACGCTCTGGTGTGGGTTGAACTCAGGGTTGAGTATATTATCCAGAGAAGCTGCAAAAAATCACACAAGGAAGCTTCTACTACTGGTTTATTCCCAGGAAAATAATCAGTAATTCGATCCAAATAACTTCTTAACAGAAGAAATTTGGGGGCTTCGATAGCGTCAAAGGAAAGAATGAGCTTGATCACAATCGTGATGTCTGTCTTTGGAGATGTAGAACCGAGCGAAAACCGGTACATCGACGAATCGTCCGTCATTCGTCTCTATACAGCTGCGACCAGACCTATTTGAAGATAGTCACGTAGGCAAGCAACGCTGTTGATAGTCAACCAGAAAGTGATATCATTTGTAAACAAAAACAGTAATTCTCGCCTACGTGGCTGTCCCGTTGCAGCACAAAGTCTGATGGGATTCTGATAATGGCCTGATATGGAGCCACACAGGCGAATCATACTGACACATCCGAATAATCTCCCAGAGGAAAACTTGAGTGTTAGTAAGTAAATGAACAAGTGAACAGGTAAATAGTTGAACTAGTGAATAAATAAATAAATAGTTAATCTAACTATGAAATGATGCTCTACAAGGAACCTGCCGGGGAACAAGCAACTAAATACTACTAGATAGGAATCACTCAGAAGAGTTCCATGAAGCCTTAGAAGAAACCCAACGAATGACTCCGACACTTTAAAGGTTGCCTTGCTGAGGCGAAAGCAGCGACCAGCGACAATCTATACGAATGACGTAAAGCTCCGATAAGTGAGATGAGGACTATGAGAGAGCGGAGACACGGAGAGGGGGGTTTCCCGTTCACTGAAGGCCCGCCTCACGGGTGTAAGGACGTGAGGGAGCCGATATTACTGCACCTATTTGCAGAGCCATCACGTGAGCCTTTTGGGTGTGTATCCCTAGCGATCGAGGTCCTTTTACTTTTTGGGTGGTAGTCCAAGTGCAGTTATAATACTGTAATTATGGGAAAGACGACATTAATCAGAGAGACCGTCCAATAGACATAGTTCAAAAAGAGGAAACCACCGGGCTTTCGACTTAGTTTTCCATTTTTCTTGAACTATTGAATTCAACATTCAACAGCCTGAGACACAACAAAATGGCTATTATACGGTGACGAGTTCCCGACAGTGGCTGCCTATGTCATGTTATGGTGAGCATCTGAGGCTTGTTTGAGGTCGTGCAGTTTTCAGTGCAAGATTTTTTGAAGGTTGTGGCCTCCTAGAAGAGTAGCAAAAAGAGAAAAAAGAAAAAAGAAAGCTCCGAAAAGTGTAAATTTTGTAAATGGTATTTGTTCCCGCTAAACTCGTTCAGGATGTTAAGTTCAAGTATTTGAGGAGATTCGATCCATGTATGGACCTACATGGGCAATTGAAAGAGTCATGTATAGTAAATAAAATTAGAAAAATTTGCAGCTTCTCCTATAGGCTGCGACTCACCAAAGTATGAATAGCACCATGGTAGTGACAGCGATTCTATTCATG